GGAGTTCAAGCATTTTGTGATTTTTTCTCTCTCCTAAAACCTCTAGCTAATCAACTAATGACGACTGTCAGCTACGTTCACGCGGAACTCGAGGAATGTGCGCATGTGCATGATCTCTATTACTGTTTAGGTCAGACAAACCAAGCTAAAATGCATTTCCGAGTGTACCAGCTACTTCGTCTCCAGTCGGTGAGAACCACGCTTCTGGTATGCGTGTAAATTTACTAAAATACTCTGAGAATACTCTGCCGTCATCGCCGTTGCACTTGACGTTTTGTTCGTGGGCCGAGTGGCTGGCCTGTGTGCGGTCCAGGAATCGAAGCCCAACCAGTTCAGATTTCCACGAAAATCGAAGTTAATCGATAAGCGGATCGATATTGGCTTCAAAGCTGCTGTACCTCTGAGAGGCTCATAAGCTTATGCCACAAACGGCTAAGCATAACAAATAGCCTCGCGATAACTAAGCATTTCTTCCATGAGATAAATCATATTAATGAAACTGATGGGATAATCGTTTTTCCGGATAGTGGTTCCATCAAATCGTTATTTCTTAAGCTGTGAACTTCAACAGACTTCCGACTTTACTGTTGTGTTCATCGTGATGGATTTTAAATCCAAAGAGAATTGAAGCGCCTAATATACAGGAATGACTTTCAGATTCAACTTGGTCTACATCGTTGACGTTAGTCACTTGAACTGCAAGCTAAAACGGAAATTATTCCAGCCCTTACTATTTGAGTGTGTGAACACGGGTCAAATTTAGTGACGAACCTGGCTAATAAAATGGTTTCCGTGTCATCTCACCCACATACGAAAAATGTGCTTTATTTTCATGCACCGCACCTACTACCTGCAAATTTAGCGACAATCTTTTTAGGTAACAAATTTTTAAAACGTGAAGTTGACAGACACGGGGATAACTAGACACCAAGTGTCCGCAATATCTTTCTACCCAGCTCATGTGCTTTGCGATTTACAAAAGTTTAACTGTGGGTTTATTAGCACGCATATCAGAGAGATTTTGGAAAACGCTGTGACCAGAATTTGTCTAGTCTCCAAAGGATTAGTTCGTCCACTTCTTTTTCCGACATCCACATATCGCAGTATCCCAATATCCTTTAAGGCCGGAATACCAACATTCTATTTTTTGTTGTTAGGTCTTCCGCAATCCGCTTTATTGGTCCACTGAACCACGTGGTGTAATGAAATTTGCTGGATGAGCAGTTTTCATCTGAAATGTTCCGTAGTACGATGAATACGACTCAAAAATTCACGTCCATAATAAATTGTTATTATTCCTTAAAACGTTTTGGATCAGATAACCGGATTTACCGATAAGCGAATGAACTTGTTGAATATCAGGTGTATTCGTCCACTGAAGTGTGCATGAGTGATTTTTAACGAAATTGACTCTCCCAGTTACAGGTAGTGTATGGGCACTGAGAGTTTCTCTGGTCAAATCACAGATAATGTGTCGGATATCCACATAAAATACAAAATATGTCGAAACGGAGCGATATACACGCATGCCCAATTAGTGCGCAGCTCATTAGGGCGCTCACAGAACCCGAGGTAATTGAAGATGGGGAATGTTTAGACCAAGTCTAATTAGGCCAGGATTGTCGTGATGCAAATCAATTGAGATCTTTGTGCCGATTACACTCGAGAGTGACCAAGGTATACATGCTGTAGAGATCAGCGAATGATATCTGCTTGTAGAACGGTAGTTTCACCGACTACTCTCGACAAACGGCAACAGATGTAAGTCATATCATGGAAGCTATCAAGCTCCTTGATGAATTTCACAGTACGATCGACGTCTATGTTTTCCAACGCATATGTCCTATCAAAAGGCTAAGTCATTGAAAAACTCTGTCCCGGTTTCATTTTTCGCCTAAACGATATCGATTTGTGAACACACCCTGGCTACTTTCCTACACAAATTAGTGATTTTGGAAAGCTGTTGTGGACCACAGTCCCCTAATTACCGTGAACCCCGGTCTGGAGAGCCGCCTGATCGCCTGGTGCGCTTGGCCAAACCAGAAAAAATCAATGAACGTGCGAACCGGCGGATCTATCGATCACTGTCGCGTACAAGCAGTCAAAAGTGATACTAAGAATACAACTCATCTGTCAAGGGCAAGTGAAGAACAACCAATGAAATCTGTCTCAACGAAAATGGCCATTCCATTGGCAGTTATGTAGTCCCGTTACGTTCGGAGCTAGTTCTCCTAAAACCAACCAAAATCTTCTAAAGTAGGGTTCTTTTTCAAAGTACGACACCCCGTGAAAAGCATCGTCTTACACAAAACACTTATCACTGATATGTTGGAATGAGTATTACCCGTTCATTCTATTCCCAGCTAGCTAGTGGCTTAACAAGTCATTACTTGGGAATGAGGATCAATTTGGAGTTGTGATGATGGTGACCAGAGAACGGACAAGTAAATAGCTCAGCTATCGGGGAAACTTTCAGTCAGTTTCTCAATCTGATGCCCAGAACTCGCTTGGTATTTGGCGCCATGCTTGATTGACTGGATGCGTTGAGCGGAAGCTACTTTTGCTTTCTAGTTTTACTTTGGCCACCTAACATTCGAAGGCGTTGTGAACCATCTGGTCTACAAGAACATTCTGATCAGGTGATTTTGGGTAACTTAAAGCGGATTCCTCACCAGATACCTTTAGGACGGTTGTTTGAGGAGGGTCAGTACCCCTGATACCAGATTCTTCCCTATTCGTTGTGTTGACTAAATTGGACATTTCTATTTAACTCCTGTAACCGAGACCACTAATCCAAAGAACGGCCGAAAGGAAGGTGGAAAACGTGTCCAATGCCACCTTTGCCCCAGCTCGAGATGGCTTAAACGATTACCGAAGGCATCATCATCATCATTCTCAGCTGTAGTAACCGCGTACTTGTCGCCAAAGAACGGACAAAAGGAAGGTGGAGAAAGTGTCGAATGCCACCTTCGCCCCAGCTCGAAGGCATCATCATCATCATCACAATTCTCAGCTGTAGTAACCGCGTACTTGTCGTACAGTGGTTGTAGCTGCCATAGTTCCGTTCACCGATGATTCCGGGAGGTGGGTTAGGTAGATGCATAGTGGAGGCGGGAGCTGACAAATTTATGCGTAAGTACAGCACTCTAGGTAGACTGTTATTTGGGGGGATTGAGAAGGAAGCTATGCATTGAAAGCAATGGCTTGGATGCATAAGCGTTATTGGGGGCGCGACAGGGTCGTATCTGGCAATGTACCCAACTATTGATATGGCCCGTCTCGGCGTCTCCATCCAGGAAGACAGCAATGACCAGCGCAGCTGAGTTTGCTGTTAATCGCTTTTACAGTTCACTGCCAAGTCATTGTTTGGCCGCTTCTGGTCTCTTCCACTCTTGTGTGGTTGTGCGAAAAGAGCTCTTTGAGTAAGTCGGTCGAACGCTTCTGGCCTCTTCCACTCTTTGTGTGGTTGTACGAAAAGAGCTCTTTGAGTAAGTCGGTCGACTGGCATACGCATCACGTGGCCAGGCCAGCAGAACCCGGATACCATTCGACGAACTTCAGCATTACTGATCCGGTGTTCCCACCAGATTCGGGCAATGCTCCGAAGACATCGATGGTCAAACATTGAAAGTCATTTGATGTCCTCGGCGCACAGAGGCCAGGATTCTGATCCATATAGACAAAAGTTGTCTTAGGTGATAGCAATATGGAGCGCACCGCAGCAAGGGTCGAGTTTACAATGCTGCGGTGCGCTCCATATTACTATCACCTAAGACAACTTTTGTCTTAAGGCACAGGTTTGACGCTGTTCAGGTGTCCGGCCATACAAAGTGCAGAAACCATGTTGAATCATGGCTTAGTGTACTTCTGAGCAAAGGTTCATGGCCTACAGCGTCAGTTCCATAATACGGATCAATGTTGCAGTCCGTAGTTGCTACGTAGAAGCCTCATCCTAAAGAGCGCCTCTGCCTTGATACAGTGGAAACGCTGGTTTTATTGTTGACATTTAGCTCCACATTTCCTCAACGGATATTCGCTACACTGATCCTGTGTGAAGCATATGCCTACCTACAAAACTCGGGTATGCTACTCTTGAAAGGCAGGCCGTCTCCCCAACTTCCCTACTTTGGTAGCTTCTCGCTCGGGTGCATTCGATGTAATTCGCCATAACTAACGTGGTCGAGTAGCTTAGCTGCTTTACAGCTCCAAGACAACCCGACTCAGTCTTCTTGTCATCTCTCAGTGGTCCTGTTCCGAATTCGGGCCTTGTTGAAATGCACACGAACGTCCAGCCGAATCGGGCTATCAAGCCCTCATCTTCAGTCAGTGAGGGTTGCATAAGTAACTACGACGAGCATGATCATTTGTCATTGATTCACTTAGTATCAGTCGTCGCGTTTCCTGAGCGTATATTTCTATGTAGCCCTCAAATCACTTGTCAACTGGAAAACGAGTGTCAGCTCATTTGTTACAACGGTTAACCCTCACTAGTTCAGGATGTATCGATAGGGGAAAGTTGGTATATATGAAATAAACTCCAAAGGGAATGGCAGAGTTCTATGATATCTAGCAGTGCATGAGATATGTCATGCAATATCTTTGCAATGTCGTTTCTAATGCATCACTTTTCCTCGTTTCGGTGACAAGGAGAATAGAACAAAAATAGTGAATAGACAGCAAGAAAGATGCAATATACATGCCATCTACAAGACTACTCGTCAAACGGATAGTAGTACAATCTGAGGAAAAAGACCAACAAAACGAACCGTGCAATATAACGCTTAGATAAACACAGGATTAAAATAGAAAACTTTGCACAACGTTTGCACCACAGGTATACAGGCCTCCGCTCGTGATAATAACCAAACTGATGATAGATGAAGGCAATTTACTGTCGCTGCAAGTCAGCACGGCTCAATTATTTGCAACAAATGTTGAATCATAGTTTTCAGATTTTTTTACGCTTTTTTAATCAACATAATAATGACCAGTGAACTCACTCAAAGGGTCCTCTACATCGGCCGAAGCCCTACTTTCTTGTGAAGAATATTTCACCCGGGATTCCGTGGCTCTCGACAAACTGACGGTTTCAGTGTTTGCTCCGCCATCGGAGGCCCTAACCGGAACCTGGTGGTCCTCTTCTTTATTACTCACTATTGTCGGCCTCGTAGCAGGGTTCTGTTCATTCGGCGTCGAGGCTACAGGCAATATTCTACCATTACTCTGAAGTTCCTCTTCGGCTTCACCGTCTGTTTCAACGTGTTGTCCGGAATTAACACTATTCATTGGGTTACGTTATTGAGCGGTTTCTGAGGGTGAGGATAGATAAAGACAAAAACTAGCAGGAAAAGACATGACAAAGAGGTGACAGGTGGCAACACAGCTAACTGTGCATAGAGACATACCGGTGCAGTTTTGGGGAGGGGGGGAACGCTCAAACAGATGCAATTTCACAAAACAGTTGGCCATTCATCATGCAAAGCTACATTGCTTGTGGTGGGCCGGTTGTTCATCAAACCCATGCAAAGGACATTTCAATGTGCGACTAAACGCATACCATAGTGCTGGTTGCCAAGGTTACCGAGGATATGGACAGAAAAAATCCTTTAGCTGCTTCGGGCTATTTTTCGGAGGCTGACTTTTGCGGCGAACACACCTGTGAAGGCTTGCCTACCAACCACAAAAGTCATTTACCTAACCAAAACGTTTCTCGTTTCTCATTTGCAGGAAATCGGCAGGAGCATTTGAAAAGTGGTTTTTCACTTTAATGCATACACAAAATAAAGTAGGGAGAAATATGTTGGTCTTTGTGATCGATTTTTCCCGACTGTGAAATCTCAATAAAACGGTTTTACGCAGGTAACACGTGATCGTTTGTTTGATGTGTTCCGAGTTCTTGGAATGCGCTTGGGCTCTGTTCATTCGCTTTGGCAAATTTTCACTCTGGGTTCAAACGCACAAACTGTCACGGGACACATTTTATTTCGCATCAAAGTAGATCCGTAAAATGTTAAATCTGCGAGAATGTCACAGTGAACAATCTTTACTTGGTTCTGCGAAAATCGTTCTAGTTCCACGAGCTCTTAACAAACAAAAGCATTCAGAAATTGCGAATGTGACCTCCGTTTTGACAGAAGAACCACCGTGACTCTTTACACTGCAGATCTGGGGGCATTAGAGCTATTGCCTTTCAGGGTTCTTTTATTTTCCAACCATATGGAACCATTCTCATCAGCAACTTTGTCGAACTGAGTAACACTTCTACTCTGTTGGTAGGTGCTTCCGGCAACCAGGTAACCAGGAGGACGAAAACATGCACTTGCGTTTTGACAAACCTAGTTAGATTCAGCGAATATACACTCATTTGCAAACTGATTTGGTTTTTCGAAAGACTCACCTCAGTTGAATCTCTCGTTTGTGATGTTCTCAGGTTCAAGTAGAACATAAGGTTGATAGAAACTCGAGGACTGCGCCTACTTGATGAGCCCCAAAAAGGGTGAAACCGGTCGTGGGCTGTCGACGGATTTTCAGCAACCTTATGAGTAGTACATTACCAGGTAGGTGCATCTTATGAAAGAGTTGCAGTTAGCTATCTCAAAAATAAATGTGGGCCTCCCGATAAAATAAGCGTATTCGTAAATCACATGGATGTTAACGTGAAATTCATCCTGGTCCTCTGTCCATTCCAACAATAAAGGGTCCAAGGGTGGCGTTTCTTGCTGTTGGGGAAATTCCACAGAAAATGAAAAAACGGGGTGATGGTTCTCCAGTTCCTACGGCACATGTTGAAAGCAAGTTTTTTTCAACTTCTTGGTGTGTCAAATCCATGTCATGTATGCCTCACTAGTTAGCCCCAAAATACCATTTGTTCACATGGAATTTGTTATAAGCATCTTCGTTTTACTCATGAGTAGTAGAACTAGCGCTTATGTGGGAAGGGTGTTCCAGTAAGGAGTGCGAACAAACAGAACAAACAGAGTAGAATCTTCTTAAGGAAGGTCTTGTTTCCAAGGCTAAAACGATCCTGAACAGAATGCCTATATATCTTTGTAATGTACTACTCATAAGGTTGCTGAAAATCCGTCGACAGCCCACGACCGGTTTCACCCTTTTTGGGGCTCATCAAGTAGGCGCAGTCCTCGAGTTTCTATCAACCTTATGTTCTACTTGAACCTGAGAACATCACAAACGAGAGATTCAACTGAGGTGAGTCTTTCGAAAAACCAAATCAGTTTGCAAATGAGTGTATATTCGCTGAATCTAACTAGGTTTGTCAGCCTAAACCTGTAGACAGCAACTAGGCGAACGAATCTAAGCATCATTGTGGAGTCCACTCTTGCTAATTGTACCCAGCACACAATGGCAGTCAAACCTAAGCGGCAGTATTCCTGCCAATGAAATCGGTTTCACCTGGGGTTCCATGATGGCTACAATTAATTGCGAGAAGAATCACTTGGAAATCAATCAGAAAACTGACAAACATCCAGCTGGAAGTGGCTGTCCTCATTCCTTGTCACCGGTTTGCAGTCCGTCTCTCGCACACCTGTGGGCAATGAAAGTTTTGGGGTTTATAACCAGTGGTTGCAAGTGTGTCGAATGCGCCTCAACCACGCTAACCTGGTCGTTCTCATTCATCGCTACGTACTGGCTTACGCAACGAAGCCCACCGTATTGCGAAAGCACTGACGGTCAGTAGCCGAAAGCAGCCTTTTACACACAAGCCTTCGGTCTAATTTGTATTGAATCCACAAAGTCCCAAATTTCCAAACGTTACCGACGTTTCTGTGTTGACTTCTTCCATAATAAAGCTTCACAGAAAAGTAAACAGAACAACAGGCTTAAGCTGACCTCCTCGGAAGTTTAGAGGGATACGGGGGAGGCTGAAAACAAGCGTAAAACAATACAACAGTCTACGATGTCAAAATTCACCGGTTCCCCTTTGGATGTGATTTCTATCCCTCTAATATGCATTCCAGAAGATATCAATTAAACATCGAACAAAATGGCGTCGCAGAATCTCACTAGTTGAAGAACAAGGTTTTATCAATGTGTTATAAACGCCTAAAGGGTTGAAAATATAGGAATATTGTGGGCGGGAGTTAGTTAGAAATAGCGAAGGCATTGCTGTTTATGTGACCATGTTGAGAAGGTCTGGATGGGGACCCCGAGATAGTCCATACCAATGACTAGAGATATTGTCAGACACAACCCAGTCGCGCCTCCAATGGCGCTAATGCATCCAAGCTATTGCCTCCAATGCATAGCTCTTTTCCCAATCCCCCCACTTGACAGTCACTCACTAATTTCTCAGGTCCCGCCTCCAATGCGCAGCTACCTACCCCAGCTCCCCGAATCATCGGTGAACGAAACTGTGGCAGCTACACCACTGTACGACAAGCACGCGGTTATTGCAACTGGCAATGATGATGATGATGATGATGATGGTGATGTGGAAGAAAACCGCAATTGCTATTCGACTTTGTGTGGTGGTGTTTCGCAGGTACAAAATCCTGGTTGATGTTTTAGGACTTTTATTTGTAAGGCGTATAGCACCATGGTTGGAACATTCTTTTCTTGTAGCGTTTGCCAATGATTTGTGATGGGTTGCTTTGTCTCAAATGTGTCCTTGTCTCCGGGGTTAGCTCGCAGATTCAAGTCACGACACACTATAAGACTTCGTTACTGACTATGATTAGCGCCGATGAAGGCTTTTCTGGCTCAGCCGTCTAATAGTGCTTCCAGGCAGAAAGAATGAGGAAGGATCTAAGTCAAGGACGATGCTTGAAGAACATAGAAGCAGAAAGCCCTGATCAGCTAGACTGTCTAGCGTTCTCAGCGCCGGCTTGCATTACGAATATAAAATACAGTAGTATCCTTGATCAGCTTATTGACAGCCAATGTCCTCCTCAAATATTCTGGGTGTAACATAACGCTCTGAGCTGAGGCATAACAGACTGTCTTGCCAAGTTAACTTACGACTGGTAAGCGATCTTTCTTCATGAATAGCCCACGGTACTACAATGGCCGAACTGAATCTGCCCTGACCTTGAGTGTTGTGATATTCTCGTCCTTCGAATACGATCGAAAAAAAAGCAAGATAGTTGATTTATTAAACTGCTATCCGGGTGAAAAATGGTTTCCAAGATTTTCCTTCATCCTTTATCATGAGAACTGGCCGTGTACACGGGGAATGGACCTGGGTTGCTATTTTCCGATGGTCACGCTACTGATGATTGAGAGTAAGCAACTCTAGATTGATGAAACCGATTCATTCTGTCCTAAAAATTTGGTTTCAAGATAGTAGGTCCCCAATGATGACAAGTGTCATATAAAAACAAATCGAACATCTTTAGGATTGAGCTTGTTGAAAGCAGGTGTAAGAAAGAGGCTTCACTGACTCGAAATAAGGTTTGCTGGATGACCTGTTTCCAAGACTTTACTTTCCACACACAACATAAAGTTTGACTTTGCAGGTGGGTCACACAGGTCTTGCCGCGAGTAATCCCTTGGGTACGACCTTCACATGAATACTTATGCAGATGATCGAAAAGTGAACAACAAAAGTAGTGTTTTGATTGCGCTGAGCTGAGGTCATATTCGCTACCACTATTACTTATTTCTCCGACTGTTGAGGGGCCGCATCAGTTGGAGAGTGCTCTTACCTTTTCAGCTGGTGTGCCAAGCACTTCAAGTAAGTTGTTTGTACCCATCACTAGGTGAGTTGTTATGAAAAAGCGCCAAACTGGACTCTACACTTTATCCGCCTCTCTTATAACCCCCGTTTTCAGGGAAAAATTCGGAGAACAGATAAGCAGCTGACAGAACATGCGGTTGGACCCATTCCTAAACGCGCGATCCAAATTCTACTAATGTAAAAGCCAACTGATTAGCGGTAAACAAGTGACCTTGGCTACTGGGCTTTCTTTAGAAACACGCAGTGAATTTTTACCCTGATTTGCAACTGGAATTACACAAAACCAACTACAAAGCTCGAGCGACCAACCAAGCAGTATTGATTAAATCCACATAATTTATTGAACGAAAATTGTCTACATCAGTGACCCAAATTTAGCCTATCACCGCATGTGCCTCATGTTCGAGTGACAGCAACGTCAGTGAAGCTAATTGCGAAAGTCCACTCCTATCTGAAAGAGCGTCCCATTCTCTTGAAACTCACTTCAACCCTGACTACCGATCGTGGCTCCTTGGTTCTGTCCAAGCGCGACATTTCAAAGGTTGACAACAAGGCATGGGATGTATCAAGGCAAAAATTCATACTTCACAAGGGACAGGTTCGCTGCAAGCTCAT